CTGCCTCACCAAACAGTTGCACTATTCCTGTAACAGTATATCAACATATGATGAGATTGCACTACATTGCTTGGGATTTGGTAATTGCACATACCTTTAAGTCAGGCTTATATATGCAAATCACTGTCAAACTGTAGTTCAGCATTTCTGAGCTAATGGTCAAGTACAAAATTTCAGCTGTCCTGTAAAAACTGTCAAGGACAAACACAGCACAAAATAAACATGTTGTTTTATTTCATCTCTGTTTACAAAGTCTCCATACAGAGTAGTGCATGCAGTTTTAACAAAAGTCAATGCTAGTTATTGGGCTTTATGGTTAAGGTGTCTTCATTCCGTTGTGCCTTGTGAGCCTCACAGCAGTCTGAACGCCAGCATAAAGTCTTCGCCTCGGAGGTGACTTTCGGATCAGATGTCTACCACATTGAACACTGACAAAGATCATGAGGTATGCTAGTCTGTTTATCTGCTTGTAAAAAATACATTTTTACATGTACTTCAATTATTAGTGTATTAGACTGAAAGTACAAACGAGGCAGGATAGTTGCAACAAGGAAAAAAAAAAAACAAACTTTTAAAATATGAGAGCTGAAGCCGAAACATTTTTTTCATGTTGATACCAAAAAAAAGTTTTGTGTTACAGTGCAGGGAGCAATCCTCTTGACTAGCAAACAAGTCTGTCTTAAATAGCTACCTTATACTAGTTCTGTTAAACAATTCCAGGTATTACGTTTAGCCATCTTAACACTTTTTTTTTGCTGCCTTTGTAGATCTGGTGCCACAGTGCATGTTTTGTTAGTTTACAACCTTTCAAATCCTCTGCTCATTTCACCTGGTGCAAAATAACACTTAGGGACTCAGTTAACTCCCATGAAACAGCTCAGTATAAAGACTTCGTGGTCTTAAGACAACCTGTTCGGCACACCTTTCAACTTCAGATTTAGGCTACAGTAAGAACATCAGCTGTCCTTAACTGGCTGCTCCAAGTCCTTTTCATCAGTAAGTAGTGCTATGAAGTGTGGATATAGGCAGATTGGGTTTTTTTAAACAGCATTCCTCAAGTCCCAACCTCCACTTAGTTACAGCAAAATAAATCTAGAGTTCCTGCTCTTTAGGTAGCATAATTATTTGTGTCTAAAATACTATGCAGTGCTTGGCTTACAGCTATGCTAATATATATTCAGAGACACAGCTAAAAGACATGTCCCACTCCGTAAGAGTTTACACATCTGAGTAAGCCCACTCTTAGTAGTGCTACACAGTGGGATCTGCCCGACTTCCCTCTACTTCAGCTTTAAATAAATACACCCTTTAGACTAACGCCTCCCCTTCACCCTTTCAAACCCTGACACCTGATGATGGACCTCTGCCTTTCAAAGACAAAAATCAAAGCAGCTTAGGCTCCATCTTTCGCAAAGGTACAGGCTGACCTAACCCCAAGGTGATCCTACATCTCTGGTATCAGCCTTCAGAAGCCCAGCTTTAAGCCCTCCTGTATCACAGGTGCTGGCTGTCACCTCATCATCCCCCAGACCACAGGATCACAAGATGACTCCAATCTGGAGCTTCTGACTTCAGACAGATGTGGCTGATTCTTGTAACAGCTTCTGAGGGGAATCACACATGGAAGAGAATTGCTGTTTGGCACTGCCACAGCCACAGACTTTTGTCTTCCAGCTTTCACAGAATTCCAGTTCAGTGGCACTTCAGCTCTCCATTGTAAACAAGATTTTTGTTCCTTGAATGCTACAAAAAGAGGGTTCCAGTCTCACACATATAACAAACATGATCATTCTGGCACCCAGAGAATTTGAAGGAATGTGTAGATTCCATAAGATAATTAGGAACTGGGGGGTCACCCTTTATACTGTAGTTTGAAGTGGTGCTAGCGTTTTCTCTGGAAACGAGTAGATACTCACTCCCTCACACGCAGATCTCTGAAGCCAGCATGGTGCTCTGTTACACTGTAGTTTGTGCTCAGAGCACATGGGAAACTAAAAGTGATGAAGACAGCATCCAAATTTTACTTGGGAATTTTTATAAACACATAAAAACATTACTCATATTAAGATTAGTTATAAAGTTCTTCTCAGTCTTAAAATCCCTTTTATATATTAGCATTGCACAAAATTGATCTGCAAGCCTGTATATTCTGCACCTCAGAGAGCGACCGTAGCCTGTTAACCGCACCTCCTGGTAACACCATTAGGCAATTAAGCTAGCCTGTAACACTGCACTGTGCCATGAGCAGAGGACACAGACATTCTAGAAAAGTTTTTGTCTCTCCTTAGTCAAAGCCCCTCTTCAAAGGCCCATACTGCAACAGAAAGTGGGAAAGATGACAGACCAACACTGCAACCATTTCCAAACCATAGGTCCCCTATTAGCACTTGACCACTTTGACCAAAATAAGCACACAGTAAGACCAGTTAGCATTAAGAGAGTGTTGTAACAAGTTATTTAAAAATTTCTCAGTATAAGCGTTTGAGGCCAGCAGCATACCTCAGTTATTCTTTCTTCAAGACTGAGTAGTAGTGGAAATGCCTAATTGAAAGTGCATAGAAGTCAAGATTCTCCCAATTCCCTCTTGTGATCTGTACTCCTGTTTATAAGCATCTGTCCTATGTTCCCACATTTAACGGCAGACTTAATTATTGTACAGCCCTACTTCTGCTTCAGCAGTTGGATTTCTCCTTCTGCTTTGCTAATGTGCGCTTCAGTTCCTTTAAGTTCTCTGTCAGTACCTCCACCTCATCCATTCGTCCACTATGTTTGGCATCAAATATATAAGCTTTGATATTATCTATCTGTTGAAGAAGCAGCTCTTCCTCTATAGCCTCGTCTCCAGAGATCTCATTGCCATCTTCTACTTCAAAGGGATTGGTAGAGGATCCCTCTTCGAATGGATTCCCAGAATTCCAACCACCCCCAGGTTTTTGAAATGGATTTTTATCCTCTTCAAAAGGGTTTGAAGTACTGCCAGGTGCTCCATTAGTTTGTTCAGCCTCCTCCTCATTGTCAAATGGATTGTATTCTTTTTTACCACTTTGCAGAGCTGCGTTAGAGAAAGAGACGACTGGAGAAGGGTCTTTGGCAAATGGGTTAGCAGGATCTTCCTCTAACTGAGGGGTATCCGCTTCATCTTCAAAGGGATTTAGACAGGCTGTCTGATCTTGGTCTTTGTCACACTGTGGGACATTCTGAGGCTTAAGCGTGAAGATCAAGTGCTCCTTAGCTGGCAGCTGCTCAACAGCAGGAGTTTCAAAACTTGGGTTCCCTTTGATCTGAGTAATATCCAAATCCAATGCATGTGCTGTCAAGTTCCAGTTCTCTTTTGCAACTTCGTGCTGATGCTGCTTGACTTCTCTGAAGTCTAAGGAGCGTGTCCTTGAATGCTGAGACATGAATTTGTGGTGTTCTCTTTCCCACTCTTTTTCACAAAGGACCTGAAGTTCCTCCCTCTGCATCTCCTCCTCTTCTGCCTGTTTTTTAGAAAGCTCGATAGCTTTCAGAGTTTGTTGTTGATCGTACTCGTCCTGAAGCTGCCTCAGGTTCTCTTGCAACATACGCACCTCATCTATCCTGTTAGCTGCCTTTGCTTGCTTAATGAAGGATGTGATATTGTCAATCTGCTGAAGAAGTGGGTCTGCCATCTCGCGCTCTCTTGATATGCTAGATGTAGGTAACCAGCCTTCAGACTTCCTGACTGTGCCTTTTTTCAGGTGAGCTGCATCACCATTAACTGCAGCTGCAGATCTGGAGATAAAGTCTTTCTGCTTTTCCTCTTGTTTTCCATGTGTTTCAAGAGCCACCTAAAACAAAAAACATGTAGTAAGAGATCACCATGAACTTGAAAAATTCCTTTCTAAATATCCGTAGGTACAAGAAGTTAGCAGGTATTAGACATTGCTGGCTCTCACTGACAGGTATCAGCTGCATTTTAGGTTACTTTTGCAGAAAGTAATATAATAATAATAATAATAAATGCTTATTTTATAATATTACCTGGATGCTTCCCTTCAGTTTGTTTGTGGTGGTATTGATCAAAACCCCATGACATCTGCTTCTAAAACTTAAGGGCAAGTAGCAGCAGTGACAGTGCTTTATACAGAGCAAAAACATGCCTAATGCAACTGTGCAAAGAGTGGTCTAGATTGAGTTGGATGGGAACTGTATCACATCTGACTACAGCAGACATCTGTAATAGAACATCACTGTTAAAGGTCACTGGTAACATTAGCTTATGGAGTGCAACAATTCTTATTTCTAAACTTCTGCCTCAAGATAAAGCTGGTTTAGATTACAATGAATTATGTCCTCCCTCCTAACTGAAAAAACCCTGTCTCTCTGAAGAGGCATCCTTATTCTAATATGTCCTTTTTCACCACCAGAAGTCTCCGAATTCTACTTGTGCAAGTCAACTCCAGAACACAATTTGAAAATCCACTTAAACGAACATACTTAGTTTAGGGCTTGTGCTGCGTGCACTGCAGCAGAAACAGCATGTGCAACCAAGTCACGGCTGTTCCTACACGTGTTCAGCTGCTCAGTACACACCTTATGTTCTGGATAGAATACAATGACGGTGCTACATGAATCCCTGAAAAAGGGTATGGAACAATCTGCATAAGAAAAATGAAAAACTGAAATCCGCTGTTAAAGTCAACTATTTATACACACACAGCTACTAGGCTGAAGCCCTTGAAGGAGGCCCCGATACAAGATACAATGGATCTTAACCTGTCTTACCACATGCAGTCTTCTCTTCTTCAATTCTTCATACTGATCTTTGGTTGGCAGGGACATTAGGCCAAGCAGTTTTTCCTGGCAAAAATGGAAATATTTACAGTGTTGCCCGCAGGCATTCAGCCAGTTTTCAAGTACTTGAAGAGAGGGATACCACCAACAGAACACCCAACAAACAAATAAAAGGTATTTCTACACT